GAGATTTTTCTCTATTAATTGTGAAACCTAGCTTCTGCAAGGGCGAAATTATTTTTTCCATGTTCGTCATACACTCGTCGTAATTATTTCCAAAAATTAAAATATCATCTAGGTATGCCAAAACTATTACACCTTGTGACCTTAATTTTGCAACAATAGGCTTGGTTAATTTTGTAAACAAATATGGTGCCAGTGAGAACCCAAATGGAAGGCAAGTGTAAGTGTAAAGCTGCCCATTCCATCTGAATTTCAAATATTTTTGACTAATTTCACCCATTGGGACTGCATGATAAGCATCCTTCAAGTCTACAACAGCCATAAAACAGTCTTTTGTTACAAGGTCGCTAACATTCTTAATTGTCTCCATCTTAAAGTGAGGAGACTCAACAAATAAATTAAGCTTTCTTAGATTTAAAATAGGGCGTCTAGTGCCGTCTGGTTTAGGAACTGTAAACATTGTGGAAACAAATTGACCTTCCTCATTATCTGATTTTATAATAGCCCCAGTATTTAATAATTTGTCAATACTCTCGTTAATCAATTTTTCATCGGAAGGAGAAAATGTTGGTACTATGGGCTCAACGGTTTGGAAAGGAACTGATTTAAATTGAATCTCATAACCCTTAATTATACTTAAAATAAAACTATCTGACGTAATTTTACCCCAATGCTCATAACATTTTACTAATTTACAAGCTTTACAACTAACCACTGGTTTTAATTTCTTTGCGGGCGGAATGGTTGACTGAATCTCGATTGTTGAAATTGTCCGCTTGGCCGATAATTTTGCTGGCGAAACTGCCCGTTCCCCCTCTGATGACGGAACGGGCGATTGAAGTTTAAAGTATTCGGAGAGCTGAAGTTTCGTCGACTAGCATAATTCTTGTTGTATGGTTGAAATCGACCCCCACGAGATGATGTGTTCCTCAGCAGAGTAGCAGTGGCTTTAGAGTTTTTCAAACTTTCGTTCAGATCATTGCCAAACAACCATTCTGTGCTAGTGACCTGATTTATAAACTTTGTATTCAATACAGGTAATACAGAATACATTAAATAAACAATGCAGGATTTATATTTTAAACTTTACCTGGGATGTGCAAATACCAGCATATTCGGGATTAAGATACTTTCTCATATCAAGCCGCCTGGTCAAATTCAACTGTTGGACCTGATCTCCCAAGATGTTGGCTGCATCAATAGATTGTTTTACTATTTGGCTTACAACTTCCTTTGGAATTTCAGCTTTTCTTTCGAGAATCTGATTTGTAATCATTGTTAAAGCAGTTAATCCTGTACTTAATGCTTGTTGTTGCTGTTGTTGTTTCACATCTTGCAATCTTGCGTGCGACGGAATGATTCGCCAAATTTCATTGTTAACCTTCAATGGAGCAAATTGTTTACAATTTGCCGGTGTCTTCAGGTTATCGCGCAACTTTGTTTTAGATTCTTTAGACAAAGGGCGAGTAATCGTTTTCAAGAAACTTTCAGCAACATTCTGCGAAACATCTGGACCAAGCTCATTTCCTTTTTCTATATCCTCCAGCAATTCATTCACCTCAATTATTTGAGGGCCTGCTATAAAACGAGCCACTTTATTACACGGTAACCAGACTCGTCGTAATTCAAAATTTTTCATGTTGCAATAATTAAAAATTACCATCATCACTGGATGTTCCTTTGCCGAGCAATTTTTCAGCTTCATCTTCAATTTCATCGTCCGAAAGACCAAGTGACCATTTCCTGTTATCGGTCCCTGTTTTTCCACTGAGCTGCGCCTTGAAAATTTCTAAAGCTTCTTCGCTCTTTTTCAATCTTTCTTCCAAACTAGCATTTTCTTCACGCTCGGTCATCTTTGTGTTAAAAGAAAAATAATTTTGTTGCCTTAATAAAATATTAAAAATCTACAATGATTGGTTATTGCCGTTATCCTCATCGAGGGAACGTTGGCTTCTTTCTTTATTTTCATTACATTCTCTTGACTAGTTTAATCTAATTTGACTCGCAACTTTGACTCGCAACTTTGACTCGCAATTTGACTCGCAACTAATTTGAATTAGAAATAAAACTACCTCCGACCCCCCAAACCAAAACTGCGCTTACCTTCGAGTAGTTCTGCTGCTGTTGTACTAAAGTAGGGCTGGGTGTGGTTGAAAAACTGAAAACTGGATCAATTAGAATTTTTCTTTCACCAAAGAATGTGTCTCCCCGATTGCCAAAAATCAACTGTGACGATGGAGGACCACGCCGGGCTGAGGTTGGTGGAAGTGTTGAAAAAGTTTGTTTTATTTTTGAAAGATGGCAGATCGTGCCTGTCTCCCTGATACCGGAATCAGCCACTACAACTGTTTCTCTCCGTGATGTAGACGGAGAGGAAGATGAGATAAAATCCATCGGAGATAAAATCGGAAAACCATGTAGCATATAGACAAAAATATGATCTGGCACTATTTTACGTTCTAATTTGTTAAAAAATAATTAATTTGGCGTCAAAATGAGGCACTCGGTAAAGTTGCCAACTTAAGTTTCAACTTACACACCTACAAATATTTCCGAGAAAATTAGAAAATTAAAATTTTTGTAGTCTTACTCAGACCAAGGGCATCATTTTATTTTGTAAAATTAGTTTACAAACTGTAAACTACCGCAAAAGCTAAGCTAGTTCGTTAGTTACCGTTAGTTAAACTACCGGTAATAACTTACCGAATTTTAAAAAGTTACCAATGACTGCGTGAAGTGTCTCATATATTTAGGCCATGATTTAGCTACGTACATGCATAATGATTGTTCTAATCAGTGTTACTATCCTAAGAATAAGACACAAAGCTTATCTGATTCAGGAAGACGTGAAGTTAAAGAATTAAAATAATCCATGTTAACGGCTTAGTCATTTATATATCAAAATTTGTAAAAAAAGAGGAAAATTTATTCCGAGGCGATTCACACAGTCCTTGGTAACATTAAAAACCCGCAAAAACCAGTGAAAACCCGTACCCGGATTTTACGGATATTACGGCTAGCGTGAATTGTCTCTTTAAATTTCAAGGAAGAATTAAAATTTGCATCAGGTAAATACAAGATTTGTAAGATTTGTAAAATTTGTACATTAGCGGGAGTTAAAGTCCAAAATTAATATGTATGATGATTTAATGATGTGAACATATTTTGTTAGATCCGTACTACATCCCCTTCAAGTAAAAGTAAATAAACAAATTATAAGAAATTTTAATAAATTTCATTTTATTGGCGATAAATTCCAAAACCAAAGTTTTTCTTGCCAGCCTCATGTTGAGCGGTTAAAATTTTACCAATAGGACTGCGTAAAATCTGTAAACGTACAAACTTTTACAAAATTTTACAAATATTTCTGAGGAAAATTAGCTAACGAATTTTTTGAAACTTACTCAGATCTAGGGCGTCTCTTTATTTTTTTTGAAGTTTGTAAAATTATTTTACAAAATTCACAGATTTTACCAATTATTAATGACTGTGTGAATTGCCTCAATATACACTCTAAATAAATTCGATCAAAACTTACTCAATTTTGAGCAAAATTGCCACCAAAGCAACTATTGAGTAAAATTTACCCTGACAAAGGAAAAATTTACTCAAGGTTGAACAAAAATCTTTCAACCTTTAAACCTGAGTAAATCTTACCTTTGTCAGAATAAATTTTACTCAATAGTTGCTTTGGTGGCAATTTTACTCAACTTTATTTACAGTGTATAAACTAAACATTGTTTTCCTGTGCTATCTTTTTTTATTAACTTCAATTATTGAAAATCTAGAAAATCTACTAACAATGCAAGTCTTTTACGTGTACAACGCAGATCTGATTGGGACCAATTTTATTTTGTTCACCACAAAAAATAAGCATACCCGTATTTTTTCATTTTTCATAATGCGCTAATGTGAGCGCCAGGCGCGAATTTTAAAACATTTTTCAGTCAAAACCTCGGTTTTTAAAAAATCTGTAAGTTTTCGAATTTTGGCGCAAATCCAAAAATTCGAAAAAATGTCTCTTCAGAATGACTTACCTGACTTATGAAAAATCCAATTGTCTCGAAATTGGAATTTCAAAATTTTTTGCCACTTTTTGAAATTCATTAAAATTATAAACTCTTTCAAGTTTTTAAATTTTCAAAAAATAATGTATGTGGATTTTTCATAAGTCAGGTAAGTCATTCGAAAGAGACATGTTTTGGAATTTTTGGATTCGCGCCAAAATTGGAAAAGTTACAGATTTTTTAAAAACCGAGATTTTGCCTGAAAAATGTTTTAAAATTCGCGCCTGGCGCTCAAACTAGCGCATTATGAAAAATGAAAAAATACGGGCTGATTTTTTGTGGTGAACAAAATAAAATTGGTCCCAACCAGATCTGAGTTGTACACGTAAAAGACTTGCATTGTAAGAACATTGAATTCTACCAAATTCTAAAAAAAAATTAGTGTAAAATAAAAAAAATATGTTTAATTTTGACAGCGTGATCATTTATTCTAACTTTTGAATTATATTATGTACCAACCAGATTATCTCCCTGTTTGTTACGAAGATTAGGTTGTACACTTTTAGAAGTTTAGTTATAAAGGGTGTTTCTTTATCTATTTTGTAAAATTTTGAAAAATTATTTTATAAAACTTACGAATTTTACAAACTTCCCAACGACCCATTTCCTTAATATTTCAAAACATTCAGTACTTTACCGTGTTTATCGTAATGACGCGAAATTGTCCTGATTATATTTACCGAGTTACAAAAATCTGGTCAAATTGTGTAAATATATTTTTGAAATCTGAAACTTTGGATTCTTTGAATCCATTTACTTACTCAAATAAATTTTATGAAATCTCATTTTTCGTAAGCCCATAATTTACCAAATTACGAAAATCTGACCGAATTTTGCCCATATTAATTTAGAAAAATCTATTTTTTTTAAATGAATGAAAATTGAATGAATAAAAAAACGGATAAAAAAAGAATAAAAATCTCTCTTCTTTTACAGAAACATCTGACGGGTTGCCCACCTCGGAGAAGAATTTTGACGCGGAATCCTACTACGAAAAACCCAACCTTATCGGCTACTTTGCGGGTAAATTGTCCTGTAAAGTGCCCACCTTGCCGCCGGAAAGTCGGTGCATCCGAATCCTCCTGTCCGCCATAGTTGATGGGCTTTGGAGACAAAAAAGTGACCCCGAATTTTACTCGGCCCACGATCTGGCCGAAGTTAAAAGCACGATGGACACCACGGTCGTCTCAGATCCGAAAAAGGGAGGAAATCCACACTTTTTTAAGCAGTAAGTGTAATCCGAATTTTATTAAAATACTTGAGAACTTCCTAGCATGTTGAATTGACTAAAATCAAAATTTGGGAACTTGTACATTTAATTCTAAAAATATTGGAAATTGTGGGGCTTTTTACTACTTTTGTGAAAAGAGATTAATTGGAAATAATTTGAAATTCGCAGATGAACAAAAAAATAAAAATTTTAATTTTCGTTAATTATTTCATATATTTTTGAAATTAGTGCTTTGTCCAAATTCGTTTACCAAAAAAATTGTAATAAATTGTCGACATATTTACAAAATATATACATATTTTTGGAAGCAGTATCAAAAATATTTACGTATTTTTTTCAGAATACGTAGTTCGTATTTAGAATACGTATTTCGTCAGAAATATTTCTAAATATTTATAAGTACGTCGGAAAACCTAGAAATCTACCAAAATATTTTGAAATATTCGTGATGCGAACACATTAAAAAAGTTTGGCTGTCGCTGGTCATAAAATGAAAAAATTGAAACTAAATACATATCCGCCCTATGATAATTAAAAATTTATAACAAAAAAAATTCAAGCATTAAGAATTGTATCAAGTTCTCACTCAATATCCTCACGAACTTTTAAAAGTCACCTTAAACTCAAACCGTCAGTGGAACAATCTAAATCAATTAGTGTTCATCATACATCTAAAAAAATTAATGAAATTGGCGTTGGTACCATGCAATTTAAAATTTGCAATCCAAAATTTTGAATTCTGGTCATTTTTCAACTTGATTAGTGATAAACTATAAAATGAATAGGAATCATATCCTCTCCTGGTCATAAAGTATTTCTGTTTTTTTAAGCAAGAAAATGTTCAACTTTTGTTTAAATTTATTAAAAATGGGATTTATTAAAATCAAAACCTATTAAAATCAAGATTGAGAATGATACTTAAAGGTTTCGTTTACTACATTAACTTGTGCTTTTGTAAAACTGTAATGAACCATTTCAGACAGGTAACATACGAAAATTATGTGATTTTTGTTCGCAAATTTACCCAGACAATTATGCACAATGTCTCTAGTTCATGAAGATAAGTAGTAAATGGCGAAATATAACAAAGGCACGACGAAGGCATATTTTTAATGAAAATCTCATATGGCCTTCGTCCCACGCTGTTAGGAAATTGTTTGTTTGATTAATTTATTTTACAAAATTGTAGTACTTCAAAAATGTAAAAATAATTAAGGCCAACAGAGTCCAGTGTGTTTTGCCAAAGGAAATTATTATTTTTTACCCCAAAAATACATTTTTTCTGAGTTTCTTTGTATTTTTAGGGTAAAAACAAAATTTGTTAAACTTGTTCAAATACCATTTGTTTCTCCCCACTTGAGTGATTTTATAAAATATTTTCAAGTTTTCATAAAGATTGCATGCATTTCCCTCAAAAAATAACAATTGTTGGTCTATGTTCTGGGAAAAAAACTTGATTTTTTTAAGAATCATCTACTCTTATTCAACTTCTCTATTATAGTATTCTGATATACCATTATACAGTGGTAGAAGATGAATCTTAAAACTTAATACATATTTAAAAATGTAGCGATATTTTAAACGGCGTACTGCTGTTACAAAATATTTATTCATTTTATATATAACACTTTCTATCAAAATATATTTTTTTTGTTATGAGGAAACCCTTGTAAATTATGAACGGGTAAAATAACATTTGTGAAAGTAGTTTGTGTTATGTATGAAATTTTAAAAATCGTGTTTTTTATTGGCAAATTTGTTGTGCAAGTTAATAATTTTTTTGGAAAAATCTTTTGGAAATTTAATTCAGGCAAAGGTTTGTAATCCCGGAAACTGTAATGTACTTTGAAAAGTCATGGCACAAACTTATACAAAACATATGATTACGGAGAAATTTACTATGGGCTAATCTGCTTTAATTAATTGAATTAACAATTACTTAAGTATCAGGCATTCATTGTTTAAAAAATACAATAATTAACACAAAGTAATCTCCGAATTATATCTAATACATCGATAAACAGTTAAAAATGCTGCGATACTTTAAACGGCGTACCGCAGTTGCAAAAAATTCTGGACTATCTACAGACATTTTTTTTACTATGAGGAAAACTTTGTAAATTATGAATTGAAAAAAATAATCGAGCAAACTGGCAACTTTAAAAATCCAAAAAGTTTGTAATAGTGGTATTAACAGTAACCGATTATAATCGTGAGGACGATTATAATCACAATCGATTATAATCATATACCATGAACGCACCAGATTATTGTTGTATTTTGATTATTTTGCCTAAGATATCCAGCAAGATTCATTAAATAGTATCATAGCAACGGCTACTTTTTCGGACGCTTTAAAAAAATTGCTTTAAAAAAATTGCATTTGGATCAAGGATTATATCCAAATAATCGTCCTCGGAGAGGATTATTTTTTTGACGATTATACTGTTGGTTATGCGGAGAGAGTTGGAATCCATCGCCGATTTACGTTACCCGAATGAACCGAATCGCATAAGGTTATCTAATTATTTAATAAGAAGTTCTTTTATTTTGACGTAAAAATCATTCAACTTTGAGCCTGGAATTTGGAAAATTGAATGACTTTTACGTCAAAATAAAATAAACTGGTATTAAATAATTATGCGGTTCGGCTGATTCGGGTAATGTAAATCGGCGATGGATTCCAACTCTCTCCGCATAACCAACAGTAATCACATTGGTTTATTTTTCCCCATAGAGAATTTTTGGGTGATTATAATCGATAATGATTATAATCGCAATAATCGGTTACTGTGAGTACCACTAATATAAGTTTACGAACCTTTACAAAATAAAAAGAGGCCCTTAATCTGAACAAGTTTACAAACATTTCAGACTCTATGTACAAGTTTGCACGTTTACGGAACTTACGGATTTTACAATGTTCTCAAAGAACTGCGTGAATTGCCTCAATATTTACCAAGGTAGTGCGTGTCAAAATTTTCAAAATTTAAAAAGAAACGATTGAATCCTACTCCAAAATTTTGCCACGTTTCCCAAAATTTTATCTATTTTAATTTTTCTCTTACTTTCTCCAGCTTTAGTTCCATTTACATACTTAAAATAAATGGAAATGGCATTGATAACACGCAATTCAAAATACATCAAGAAGAAAAGTATAATCTTAAATATTGTTGACCACTTCAAAAACGCTGCAATACTGTAAATGGCGTACCGCAGTTACTGAAAATTCTTATTCTGTGGAAGCGATTTTCTGCCAAAATGTTTTTTTTTCTATGCGGAAAGCGTTGTAAATTATTAATCGCTAAAATAACGAGGCAATTCAAGCAGTTATTTGTAACTTTGTAAAATCGACAAGTTTTGTAAAATAATTTACAAACGTACTCCAGCTTTACTTCCTTGAACACACTTTAAATAAATGGAAATTACACTAATAACAAGCAATTCAAAATATAACAAGAATGGACGTGCGATCTTAAATATTGTTGACCCCTTCAAAAGCCCTGCAATACTGTAAATGGCGTACCGCAATTACACAAAATTCTTACCCTGTACAAGCGACTTTCTACCCTATTTTTTTTTATTTTTTTTGCTATGCTGAAAACCTTTTGAATAATTAATCGCTAAAATAAAGAGGTAGTTCTCAAAATTGTTTACCGGTACAATAGTCGTAAACTCTCAAATTGTACATTATTCTAGTTCAACGCGGATTCATATGCCTCATTATTTTTCAATTATCTAATGGGCATTGACGTTTTTTAATAAAATAATTAACACAAAATTATCTGAAAATAACATCTGAGAAATTGTTAAACAGTTAAAAAACTTTGCGATACATTAACTGGCGTAGGCAAATTCCTGCTAGACTTTTTGTACTATGCGGAAAACCTTGTAAATTATGAATATGCAGTGTCGTTCACAACCTGCTATCGAGCCGTTTTTCAAATCTCCGGTGTGGATTCAATAAAATTTTTGTCGCGTCATCTTAATTTTGCAGTTGAGAAGACTTTCGGATCTTCACTGGTTGCCGTTATTCCGGGCATAGCACTAAAAGGTGGAAAACTGTCGAGCAGAGTTGGCAGCTCGGCTCGACATTTTTACACTGTTAAAAATCTGGTAGAGTGACATAGACACTCCGTGCTTGTATTGATTTGGTAATAATTTCTTACCGGATTGGTAGTAACTTGTTCCTGAGTGGTAATACCACGACATGACTGACCGGTAATTCCCGTTAAAACCGGTGCCGGTAGAGTCACATGTGCACTCCAGTCGGTAATGATTTAATACCAGTTTTCTAAGATCTGACTTAATAAATAATATTTGAAGTAACCTTACGAGGTGAAAATTACAAAAAATAGGGTTGATTAGTTTATAATAATTTTCAATTATTGGTTCATCAATTCGTAACCTTATAAAATTTTAATATTCGCATTATACAAATATATTTCAAATGGTTTGAAATATATTTGTAAAAGGTTGTCATTTGCAAAAAGTTGTCAATGAGGAAATTGTGCCCGATTGGGGCTATGAAATAAATTGAAATTGATATACTTGTTCATGTAGTAGCTGGAAACTTTAAAAAATTAAGAAAACTCGACTAAAATCTAATTGAATCCACACCAAAGGTTTGAAAAACGGCTCTATAAATAACAGCTCGTAAACAGCACTGTAACTTAAAAAATCCTGAAAAGTTTGTAATGCAATTTGGAAAAGTTTTACAAAATAAATAAACGCCCTGGACGTTAATAAGTTTACAACAATTTGGGAACTAATTTTCCTATATTTTTGAGGAAATATTTACGAAATATTATAAAATTATTTTAAGATTTGTTAGAATTTAACGTTTTTAATAGAATTTGAGATTTTCAATAATAGTAAAAAATTATAAAGGTGTTACATATTACGCAGAAGAAGACATTACATAAATATTGTGGTGGTTTGGACAGGTATTTGTACGAAACGATGTACATACGTAACTTGTACGAGACGTGTTTTTTTTCCTATGTGGGAGTCCTTGCAAATTATGAATCGCTAAAATAATGAGGCATTTCACGCAGTCCATGGTAAAATTCGTTAATTTAGTAAACTAATTTTACAAGCTTTTACAAAATAAAAAGACTCCCTTTATTTGAGCAAGTTTACGAAAATTTAAAAGCTAACTTTCCTCCGAAGTATTTGTACCACTTTGTAAAAGATTATACGTTTACGGAATTTTATAATGTTAGCAACCCTGCGTGAATTGCCTCGGTATTCACGAAAGTACGTAGTTAATGTAATATTTTCAGTAATTAAAAAGAAACGATTGAATTAAAATTTTTACAATTTTTGCGTTAATCCAGAAGATTTCTATATATTTTAACTTTATTGTTGCAAAAAATACATATTTCTATTTACGGGACTTTCTACTGAGCTTTTTTTCTTTATGCGAAAAACCTCGTAATTTATGAATTACTAAAATAATATTTACGAAAGTAGGTTGCATTCAAATTTTCAAAACTTGTGCATAAACAAACGAATGCATCTTTCATTCGTAAAATTTAGAGCCTTAAATTTTTGCCAAATTTCACACAGAAGATTTATTTATTTGAACTTTCTCCTTGCTTTCTCCAGGGTTCGGATGGCTCACGCTTGGGCACAGTGTCATCTCGTCGGAATTAACAGAATGATGGTTGGCGTGCACACCTTGGTTCCTGGCAATTTCGCAGAGGATCACGAATTTGATCCCGCCTATGCCTTGACATCCCGGCCAAAACGGATTTTGCAAGAATTGTGGTTGTACGATGTTGAAAAGATGCCAAATGCGGTTAAAATCTCGTCGGATGAGGACGGATTTCGGGTAAGAAGGCTGGCAATTCCACATCATTTAAATAATGAGGGGCGTTCTCATGGCAACGTGAAAATAAGGGAGGATTAATTTGAACTTTGTCGCAAATAATTTGGTTTGGTGGCAAGTTTTTGAACATTGTGGGGAAGAAGTGGTGCAATATTTTTTTTGCAATTTGTTGCAAAGATTGTTTAAATATTTTAACAAATTTTGCAAATATGTCGATTTGCAGACAGCGCTGAACTTATGATATTGTAAATGTAATTGGAGATTTAACATAAAAATTCTTAAATTAATATTCGATTTAATAAAAAAAATCCAACATTTTTTGTATACAATTGTGTATTTTGCCAGAAATTAGGCGTATTCACGTCAAGTCTAATTTTGCGAATTTTGTAAATTTAATAAACTACGTTCCCTCATATAGCGTAAAAATTTTGCGAATAAAAATCAAAACAAAATCTTGCGCTTTGGTTCATTCAATAAAATTTTCCAAAATGTAATTTGTATTTTCATACAAATAAACCGCCAGATAACCTCTCAGATTTTTTAATTCCTATTTTTTTGAACACACAGTAATGCACTCTAGTTTATCAATTTTATTAAATCAGCCACTAAATTCGATACTGTGAGTACCCCTAAATATACATCTCCATAATTTCTAATCCCACTCTTTCTTTCCCTAGGCTTGGACACCTACCGACCTAAAATGGAAACTATACACTGCCCTACAACAAATCCGCGCGCAAGTCCAACACTCCGAGGACAACGTGACGCACCGCTTCCTTCACTACTTCAATGAAGACTTCCTCGTCCCCTTGACCCTCGAAGAGCTCCAATTCGAATGGAAAGCCATCCACGACGCCAACCGCACCCTCACCTTCCGCAACGTTCACATGGTCCAAACGTCCCCCGACGTTATTGAACTCTCGATGGAAGAGGTGGAACAAGAACACGCCGAAAAACAGGTGGACCACATCCTCAACACATTTCTCGGTCTCGGAATCCCCATTGAAACGGTCAAAGTCGTCCGAATCGTGGGATCTGGTCGCACCCTGGAAGTCCTCTTTCCTTATGAAGCCCTCGCTCGGAGGGTTTACACGACTTGGCGCCTTTTTTCGGGAAGAAATCGCTACTTGCCCCGGGGCTTTGAGAAAATCCGGGTCGACGTCAAACGCACCAAGCGGCAAGAACTAGAACGCATGCGCAGGAAAGGGAGCGGGAATATGTTTTACTTTGTGGCGCAGAGTGCCCCGGTGAGAACGGGAGAGGCACGATATACGCATCAGCATCATCCTTATGCTTGCTATCAGTGTGGCGGGTCGGGAGGAGCGGGAGCGGGATATAGCGCGGGCCCCTCCGTGATACAGACAGGACCGATGCCGCCGGCGCCAAGTTCAAGTTCGCAACAGCACCAAAGGGATCACGGGATTCAGTTTATTTTACCGGGGGAACATTACCCCGTGCCGAGCGGGAGGCATCATCACGCACATCATCATGGACACGGACACGCGCATGCGCATGGGAAACATCATCACGGCGTTGGAATGACGGGCCCGGTGGCGAGTTCGGCGAGTAATGTGAGTGGTGGCGGGAGAACGTGTCCGCGAGGTGGGGCGGTAGGCGGGGGAGGAACCAGAGAAGAGCGGGAAGAACCGTGGCGATATACGCAGACGATGTGGCGCTAATTTTAAATCGATAATTAAGTTTAGTGAATTTTGTAATAATTAGTATAGAAAAAAACGACGCGATTTTGGTTGTAATTTGGTTGAATATTTGTTTTTTCGTAATTTAATTTGTAAAATTATTTGTAACCATGACAACCTATTTAGAAAATTAATGTCGGATAGAATAATGAGAAAATAATACTCGATAATTCATAAGTAAATGTGTAAGTAATTAAGGATTAATTCCTACATAATATCTATTATAAATTAAAAATCATAACTAACTTATCTGATTCCTACTAATTCCTAGCAACTAATTAAGTAATTAACAGATTAATTAACTAAATAATTAGATAATTACCTAATTAATTAATCTATAACACTTCACAAAAGGAAACTGCTTATTATACTGTGAGCAACAAACACACCTGACGTGCTTCAAGTATTGGCGACTAACTAATTTGCCGAGTTAAAAAAATTACGCTAGTTACGGTCGGTCAGTCAAGGTCCACGCTCATATTTTATATTTGTATCGTGACCATAAATTAATTAGCATAGTTAAGAAGTAATTAACTAATTAACGTTAGCAAACTGATTAAAGCGTTAATGTGTGAATGTTTAGAATCATAATTATAAATTGTAAATGTCCCGCTTTTAAATTTCCCAAGATAGACTTAATTTTACTTTAAGAATTAATTCGAAATTCGACAAAATACGGTTTACAAAATTTGCACAAGAAATTGGCACAGTTCGCACCGTTAAACATTTAATGTACATAGATATTCTCAACATCATTTATGCAAATTATTTGCTATCCATTCTACCTACAACTCATAAACAACTATATAAACTTCACAAAATATTAAATAACGGCGTTGCACATCGCAATCCATTGCATTGACACAATTCACGCAGTCCTTAAACTCATAAAATCTGCAAGTTTTGTAAAATAATTTTACGAACTTTTCCAAAATAAAAAGCCACCCTAGATCTGAGCAAGTTTACGAAAATTTGTAACCAAATTTTTCCGCAAAATAGTTGCAAAATTTTGTAACTTTACAGAATTTATGGATTTTACAATGCCTGCGTGAACTGCCTCATTAAAATGAATTTGTTACAAATTCAAAAAAATGCTTGTTACAAAAATTGGCACAGATAAGTATTTCGCACTGTTACCCAGTTACATTTTTTTCGTAATCCGTAATTTATGCCAATTTGTGTGACAACGACGAATTCGGCACCTCAAAATCTAGGTACAGCTCGTAATGCTCTATATACCTTTACAAAATTTTACATAACGCCGTTGTACATTGCAAATCACGGATTTTCATAAAATTTCACGCGGATTTTTTTAACCCTGTAAATTTCACTGTGAAACTAACTTTTGCAACCTAAATGGACGAGCGGAAACTTACAAAACTTCGTAAATCAACGTTCCCCGAAAAATTATTGGAATTAAGCTTTCAATTTTACTATGTTTACAAGGTTATTAAGTCCGGCGTGAATTACAACAATGATTAATTAAGTCACTAATTAATTACGAAGATCTTAATGTGCAGTGTTTAATTAATTAAATAATTAATAAACTAAGTACTTAATAATAGATTATTAATTACATTTTATTGCTACTTTCACACACAAAGTTTAACCATATTGTCAAGTAACTATGGCAACCTGCTCATGCTCAACAACACGCTGTAAATTAAATCAAGGTCTCTCATGTACATATTTACATAATAATTAAAATATTCATTAAAAAACTTGTTAATTTGAATGAATTAGTTAATAAATATTGTCTCTTTTCGAAATGTGTAACTTATGCGAAATCATTGCCAATTTGTGATTTATGAAAAATTGATACATATATTGTTAACAAATTTGGTAAATATTTAAGATCTACTTAAATTAATGTAGGATTGGATTACGAAAATACTTGCAAAAATTAAGAAAACTCGTGCAAATTAATTTGTCAGATATTTAAAATAAGTAACTATGTGACATGTATGTAATGTGAAATGGATTATCTAATTGTGATTAAATATTGAAAACATTTGTCTCGTAAAGCGTTGTTTTTTCATGATTTTTTCCTAAATTGTGGATTTCTTGGTTGTTAAATTTTGAAGGATTTAGCATTTGTAAATTTGGAAAATTCACTTCAAATTTTAAAACATCTGAATTATTTTAACCTTATACCTGTTTTTGTTTCCTTTAGCCTTTAACGTAGCGATTTCATAAATAATGGATTTTTTTAATTCGTTCAAAATCCAATTGTTACAATGGAAACATTCAATTCAACATCAAACAAATTCATCTAAAATCATTGAGTGAAACCTACTCTTTGAAAAATTATTAAATCTGTCGTTAAAGCTAACCAGTTACTAATGCACTGAGAGCATTGTTTCGTTTCTTGCGGGTTTGCTACAAGAAATGCGAGGTGCAAGAAACTGGGAGAAAGTGGAGGAAATGTGCTCCATCTAGCCATGCGCATGCGCCGTACGAAGTATAGTGGCGGGACCTAATTTCTTGCGCCTTGCATTTCTTGTAGATCAAAATACCTGAATTTTCTCGGTGTGCATAAATATTCACACTTAAACTTGGCATATTTAACTTGTAAATCGCGCAAATTGATTTCAAAATCCGAGTTTCCGTGAATTTTTTAATGAAATAAAATTAATGATTCTATGTAATTTCCCTTCGTAATACTTGTAAACTTTTAAACGCTATGTATCGGATTATGGATCTTCGGTTGTATTAGCAAGTTATAAAATTTGTCACAAACATTACTGACGTTGAAGTCCTTCCGAAAATCTCGTGGTTTTGCAGTAAAACTATTTATTTTAAAATTGAGAAAGTTTGCACAAATTTTTAGCTCGAATTGGGTGCACCAATAGTCCCAACAATTTATTTTTATAACATGAAAATTATGAAAATTTTATTTTTTGCAGCGAACAATCTACAAACAAAATTTAATCGATTGCTTGCGTTTGCATCTTCAAGGTTTCAGCTGTGAGGTAGTCTGGAAAATGTTTAATTTGGCGTCAAAGTCTATCGCTTTTTAAATTGTTTAAAAATTCTTTAAAATTCAAATTCTTTAATAAGGTGACGAAATTTAGTCGAATTTATGTAACCATATTATGAGGACAATCGCTCAAATCTACATAAATATGTAACAAATAAATAAAATCCATAAATCTACACTCTTGGAAATCCAGTATTAAAATAATACCAAGGCTATTCATTCATGTAGGACTCTCCCAAAGTGGTATTGATAATTAATTACACCGTGCAGTAACAGTTCGGTATTACAGTTTTATTGTATTGGTTAGAAATTTTTAGGGACCGGTATAATTTTTATACGACGCGGTAGCAACTTTAATACTGAGAAAACAATACCTGCATGACTATACCAGATTTCTATCAGTATACGCTCTTAGAAATCCAGTATTAAAATAGTACCGACAGGTGTTCATATATGGCTTTACCAAAGTAGTTGTTTATTTGTAAGTAGTATTTATAAGTAATACAGTGTAGTAATACATAACTTGGTATTAAAGGTTTCCCATATCTGTAGTAAATTTTTACTCTCTTGTATAATTTTAATACCAAGCGGTTGCAACTTTAATACCGAGAAATCAATACCTGCCTGACCAACATTGTATTACCAGTTGACACAGGAAACTGGAATTTTCACCATCGACCCACCTTAAATCATTAATTTCCTGTCGCCTTATTAACAAATATTTTATTTAGTGACACGAGCTTTCAGCAATTTTGGAGTTTAAATTTTAAAGAATAAAAAATTGACCTCTAACAGAAGATTTTTCAAAATGAGTCAAGTAATGTCACACTGGAAATTAATGAAGCGTGAAAAGGAGATCAATTTAGGAGAAAAATTTGATATGGAACTTTCCCTTGTGTTCTTTCGAATGATAACAAATTAAGGAAAGGATTTTACGATTTGATCACTTGCAACAAAAAATTATCCAAAAGTTTTATAAAATTTCATGCAAATTGAAAATCATTGTTTTTTAATTCGATTCATTTCATTACTATTTTATTAAGTATGATAGATTTTAACGACGTTTCTGTTTTTTTTAGGAGCGAGCATATTTTACTATATTTCTCAGGTAACTTCTCGCAGACAATTACGTCAACCTTTGTAACTGCTTAAGGTTCGTAACTTTGCAAACTTTACATACATGTCTAAGGAAATTTGACCTATGAACATTTACGAAATTAAAAAAACTACAATGTTTTTGGCTCGTAAACATGAAAATTTGTAAATAGTTCGGAGCATTGATAATTGCATTTTTAGTTAACACCAAGGTTGAGATATGCCAAGCGTGTGTAAACTTACAAACCTAACGCAGGTACAAACTTGACGTGGCCGTCGTTTATTAATTGAGCTTATTTTATTGAGGCAATTCACCCAGTCATTTGTACCTTTGCAAAATCGGTAAATTTTCTAAAGTAATTTTACAAACTTTTACAAAATAATCATGATCTGAACAAGTTTGTACAAATTTATAAGATCGTTTGCTTAGAAATATTTGCAATATTGTGTAAAAGTTTGTAAGCTTAGGGATTTTATAAAATTACCTAAGCCATCGTGAAGTGCTTCAATATTTGTTTTATTTTGTGTGATGAACCTTGGCGACGTTTTTATTTTCTAAAAACGAACTTCATACATACCATATTAATCAGATTTAATGCCTCCTCTGGCACTACACTCTTAGAAAACTGGTGTTAAATCATTACCGACCGGGGTACATATGTGACTCTACCGGCGCTGGTATTTATGGGCATTACCGTTCAGTAATGTTGTGGTAATGAAAAATTTACCACTCAAGAACAATTTACTACCAATTCGGTAGGAAATTATTACCAAATTAATACCAGTACGGAGTATCTATGTGACTTTACCAGATTTTTAACAATGTATATCAACGTCATCTTTATTAACTATTTATTAATTAGGCTTATTTTATTGAGGCAATTCCCCCAGTCATTTGTAACTTTGAGAAACCGGTAGGTTTAAGAAAGTAATTTTACAAACTTTTACAAAATAAAGAGACTCCCAGGATATTAGAAGGTTTACAAAAATTTATAAGCTAATTTTTCTTAGGAATATTTTTAAAATTTTGCAAAACGTTGTAAGCTTACGGATTTTACAAAATTACCACAAAGCCTCAATGATTGTTTAATTTGATATGATGAACTTCGGCGACGTCTCAAATTTTAGATATGAACAACACAATTAAAATATACCTAAGATATTTTGCATATTTTGTTGTTGGTGGGCATGTATTTCCAACTTTATTAACTATTAATTAATTGCATTTTAGTATTTAACTTCTTAAAAATTAGAAATACGACACAAGAAAAATCTGAGTCATTCTTTAAAATGAAAGATATCCTCGTTTCCTTGACATTGAGGCAATTCACGCAGGCTTTGGTAACGTTACAAAATTCTTAAATTCTGAAAACTTACAAACTTGTAGAATTTCCCAGAGAAATTTTGGTAAAATTTTTAAAAGTATGTAAGTTTACGAAATTTGCGGATTTTACAAGGTTACCAAGGCCGGAATTATTTTGTTTGATATGCGTTAAACTTTGGCGACGTCTTATTTTCTTACAGAAATGAACACATTAATAATTTAAACATTTCTTAGATAGCTCGTTCGTTCTGTGCTAATTTTTTCCATTTTAATACTATGAATTTTCCTCAGAAACATTTGCAAAATTTTTAAAGTCTGTAAATTTACGGAGTTTGTGGATTTTATAAAGTTAATATTTTGTTCAGTTCTCTACGATTTTTTTAAGAAAGTTATGAACTTTTGAAAAACAAATTTTGCGAATTTTACCAATTCTCCCATAAGCGCAATGTTAAACTTTTCAAGATATCAAGATGTTCACATTGAGTTGAGCTATCGATTAAAAAATAAAACCTCCAAGGAAAAAAATCACTGTAAGATTTGAAAAATGGCTTTAGTGTAAAAAATTGTGACATTTGACCTTTTTGA